ATAAATTCCAGGGTTATCTGGCTTCAATTAGTGGCTTACTATCAGGACACCAATGACTGATAATTTTCTGATCTAACCCTTTCAGCCCAATTTTTTGTCCCTAAATGCCTAAAATTGATCTTGCAGGTTTCTCTTTGTTTCTTGGATTTTTAATTGATCATATGCACCATTATCTTAGAAAATAGGTCAAGCTGAGAACTACTGTGGCAGCTTCAATTTAGGAAGTTGAAAGGCTTGAGAAAGAAAGACTGCAGCCTAAAGAAAGGGAAGAGAAAGCCAACGAGAATATAAAGTAGTTGCAGAAAGAATTTTCTAATTTAACAGACAACTTAAAGAAGCTTAAGTTGGAGTTTGCAGAGAAGGACAAACGGGAAACTGCTGAAGCTCATGTTGCTGCACTCCAGAAACAAGCTGCTGATTTATTACTAGAATATGAGCATCTGTTAAAAGACAACCAAAATCTTCAAGACCCAAGCTCTAGGATATAGGAGCTAGGAAATTTTGGCAGAACTGAAATTCAAGTTTTGGAATTAGTTTTGGTCAAAGGTGATGTTAATCAAGTGTCTCTGATACTGCCCATTATGTGTTGTGGCTCAGTCCTTAATATAAGAAGAGGAAGAGGAGTGGCAGATGCTTCTTTAACTCGGTGGTAAGATTTTTGTAATTTTAGTTCTGGATTGAGAATTGTATCATCTATATTGCTTCTTGAGATGGATTTCCATTTCATCTTGGTTTTCTCCCACCAGTTATAGTAACTTAATTCATGTTGTTAATGGAACACTGATTTTCTGTTTTTCAATTTAATGTCAAAACTTTCTCCATGATACTTTGGTGAGGATATAACCCAGTGCTTGTCATCTGAATATTGAATCCAATATTATCTGTTTGTCACATCAGATTATACATGACACAGAGCACCCCCCCCCCCCCCCCCCCCAAAAAAAAAACCCCCATTAGGAGTAAGGAAGTGGGGTGAAAATCTCATAATGTGTTCTGAAATTCTTTGTTAAATGCCCGTTTGCTTGGTCTTTAAATTTTTGGAAAAATGTCTGCAGTCGGGAGTTCACACACAGAGTAAAGTCAGTATCAATGGCAAAATTTACTTCACAAGAAGTTAGTGCTCTTCAAGGAGGTGGAAATGCGGTATGCGTGCATATTTTCTTAGGGATTTCTCATGTTAATTTCATTTGTTAGCTGTTATCAGTGATCCCAATTTTTCATTTTAGACCCCTTTCTGTTTTATATGCACAGAGTGCAAAGGAGATTTATTTGAAGGAATGGGATGCACAGCGAAATTCTTTCCCTGATAGCAGGTTTGTACATATTTTATGTGTTTTTTGATAAAAACTTTTCCTCATAAAATGCAGTTCTGATTCACAATAGTTGCTGCCAGTAATGTAGAGAGACTACGGGACTTCATTAAACATGTTTACGTGGATAGAAGATATACTGGTGAGAGAAGCTTTGACAAGCCTCCAAGGGTGAAGATGGTATGATAACCTAGACTTTTTTTTGCTCCAAGTTTCAGTTTACCAGAGGTACTATTAACTAAGGTTGAAGATGGGTAGCTGACAATATTACTCATCTGACTTTCAGAATATTATGTCCTTGTTAAATTTGCATGTGAAGCTTGTTAAATCTGCAGGATTTAGTGATTTCGTTCGTTTGTTTGATTGATTGTTTTGATATCGTGCAGGGTGAAACAGACGAATTTAATGAGAACAGGAAGATCGATTCTTATCAAGGCGGGTCTCGAAGCCCGCCATTTGACGATACATACGAACGTCGTTCCAGTGACAGGCCTAGTCCCGGTGGAAGAAGTGATGACAGAAATTACAGAAATAGCAATGATGAAAGAAGTCCAGGATATGGTGGGGATTACAGGAGAAGCCCTGCCCGTACTGAGATAGTTAATGACTGGCGAAGAGATGATAGATTTGGAAATGGAAGGAGGTCTGAAGATAATAGAATTTCTGATGGAGGTTCTAAGCTTGAAGGTAGGTCACCTGACCGTGAAAGGGATCTGGATATGTCAAGTCCCCCTATGGTCCGACCTGTTAGAGATATTTTGGGAGAGAATGTATCCCCCCTTAGAGTTATTGAACCTCCAAAAGCCAATGGTGGCAGGTCAACTGATGGTTCTGTACATACACAGGTGAGGATTCTCTTCCATTTTGCTTCATTATATATGAGTTAGTATGCCTCTTCTAGCTGATGTTCTTTTGTTTGGTCCATTATGGCATTTACTTGCAGATAGAACTAAGTTTTAAGTTTACCTTTCATATAATGCATTAATTATGGTGTGTTATCTGGTGTGCATGTACTTTTAATGTTGTAGAAGTCACAAAATTTGTTTACTTGTCACGCAAAAAGTGAAAGTAAGGCTTCAATATGGGCTTGGACTCTCCAAATTATTTGTTTCTAAAATTTTCCTTGTTTGATTTGGACTAAAGCTATTCTCTGTTTCTCTTTTTTTTTGCATCAGACAGCTATACTAATCTTATTAGTTTTACTTAAAATCTTTTGCAATTTAGCCTCTGTTCGTCTAGTCTGTTAATCTTCTGCTTTATATGTTCTCTTTCATAAGCTTCTGTTTTCTTGTTCTTCTCTACCGAAGAATGTGAAAAGCTTAATTTGTATATGTTACCACAGAGAACTGTGTCTTCCAGTAGCTTGGCATCCTCCAATGGGAACCCTGCTGAACTTAGAATGGAAAGTTCGTTAATCGACTTTGATGCTGTTCCTGAACCTTCTGTAACTACAGCTGTGCCACAAACTGCTGCGAGTATGTCCATTGCACAACCAACGGTTTCATCCAATGTAGACAACTGGGCTAATTTTGATTCAGCAGCGGAAGTGAAAGTATCTCAAGCTCCTTCAAATGCCAATCCTCTAGAATCTGTACTTTTAGAACTGTCGGTTCCAGCAACCGTACCTGGTTATGCATCAGGAATACCTGTTACTGGTGGTGGTTCAATTACTGCCCCTGTGGGAAACACGTCGGCTTTGCCATTAAGCAATTCACCAGTTGTACCAGTGGGACAAATGCCAGTTCCCCCCTTCAGCAGTGGTACTCCTGCAGCTGGCCCAGTGAACAACTCAATGACGTTTTTCCCTGGTGGTGCTCCAGCAGTTGCTCCTGGACCTGTATCGGTTCTGCCTGTCAATGGAGGTAGTTCCTTTGTCAGTTCTGGGCAGTGGCCTATGGTGCAGCCTCAGCAACCTTCTTTCTTCCCTGCTGCTGGTAATCAGCCCACAGCTCAACCATTTAGTCCAGCGGTTGGTGGAGCTTCAAGCAATCTGGTGTGCTTTGTGCTGTGCCTTTCATCCTCCACTTAAATGACCTTTTTTAAGAATGATGTATTTATTTAATGATGGTTACCCTAATATAACCTGAGTTTTTTTCTGTTGCAGCCATGGAATTTATTACAAGGGCCTTCTAGTGCATCAGCTTCACAAGTATCTCAAGCTTCAAAACCTGCGTTGGAGGTTGCTTCTGGAGGTGGGCTACAGTCCTCCGCTGTAGAAGTTAAATCTAGTGGAAGAACAGCACTGCCTGAGGTAATGGTGCTTTTGGTTGAGCTGCATCTCCTCTCATCTCTTGTGAACTTAATGGTTTTATATAATGATTCCATACCTTAGTGTATTCTAATTTGTTGGCAGGATTTGTTTGCCCCCAACTATTCATCCGTCCCTGGGCCAGTTTCTGGCTGGCAAACCGGTCCACCCTATGGTATTGGGTTCACCATGCAATATAACTTTGCAGCGGTATTTTCATCCTTCAATAATTATGCCAATTTAATTTGGTTCCACATCTTAATGTCTGTAACAACATGAAATGTTACTCATTTCTGGAGTGTTAATTGTTACAGCCCATGCCAACTATCCTGCAGTCATCAAAATCTATGAATCCATTTGATATCAACCATGACCCATCTCCGGTTCAAGCTCCAACGGTATGCAAATCTATTTCATCAAATGGATTGGTTTGCTCAATTGCTGCTTCTTAGTTGTTGGTGTTATAGGAAGTGTACCATGACAAACATAAAAAGTAGTAATAAGAAAGGAAAAAAACTGACTTTAAAATAAGAAGTTGCTTAGATTGATGCTTGCAAAAGACTTGTACTCATAAGTTGCCCTAGCCTTGAACCCATGTTCACTGTTCTTGTGCTGAATGGAAGAAGGAAGCAAAGTATGAAATGGATTTATTGACTGGAGTCTGCTAAATTTTCAGAGTTAAGACAGTGTTGAAGAATTATTTTTTTAATGTGTATGCCTAGGGGTTACAATTTGAGCTTGTAAATACCTTATGTTGTCTGGCTTTTTATATCACATGGAGTGGAGGAAATGTCTAGTAGAGGTGAGCAAAGAGAGGAATCAATTGAAATGGTGTCAGGTTGAGTGTGATTGTAATCATGTTTGGAAACTGAGGAAGTTGTGTTGAATCTACTTTTAAATTTGCATTGAGCACCATTCAGCCACCTCCAAATTGACATCTGGAGGTAGCTGAATGGTGCTCAATGCAAACTCTCATGTTGGTCTAAGCCGGAATATAACAAAAGGCATCTCATGATTGCGATCATTTTTTTACTGCTTCAGCAATTAACTCATGGAAAATTGTTATTTAAAATGTAATATGTTNACATGTTGGTCTAAGCCGGTATATAACAAAAGGCATCTCATGATTGCGATCATATTTTTACTGCTTCAGCAATTAACTCATGGAAAATTGTTATTTAAAATGTAATATGTTTAAATATCAAATGAAATATATGTTCCTTGTGATGCAGTTTCCTTCGATGGCATCATTGCAAGGTGCTTTACCAAGCATGGGAGCTCCAACCGGCTTACTGCGTATGTCCAGCCTGGGTACCCCTTCATCGGTATGGATGCCACCTCAGTCATCTCATCCACTAGCTATGCCTGCTCATCCACCATCTTATGCATCACAAATACCTCAGAGTAAGCTGATGTGGTTTCTTCTAGTTTATCTTTCTTTTATTTTGCACATTAATTATATCTGCTCGTTACATGTTTTGATGTATTCTAATTGCATCTCAGGTCCATACATGGGGCAACAAGTACCGACTAACATGCCACCCAGGTATCTTCGCTTTTATTAATTTTTCTTGCGTAATTCTTTATGGATGCAATTCTGCTAAAGCATAGATCCACTTTAAATGTCGACAAAACAAAAAAATTGTAGTTGTACGGAGTTTCTTTGAGCTTGCTATATGGCTTTAGCTGGTTCTTGTGGTTCAAAATCTAGATGTCTGTATTTTTTAGAAAAGAAATTGTTTCATATTTTAGTCAAGGGTGATTTCTCTTGCTGCCTTGTGTTGAATTCGTGGATCATTTGGAATTGCAGGCAGCAAGGAGTGTCGAACTTTGGCCTTGAGGGGGCTCCTTTTGGAACTTTAAATCCAAATCAGCATCTGAATAGATTATATTCCGCTCCTGCTACCCCAGATACATTTTCCTCTGTTGGTGGGAACCCATTTGGATAAATGTGAATGAACTTTGTGCCTTTAGACAAATCTAGCGTAAGCATCATCTTATTGCTTCATGTCAGGCCATTTTGGTGGAAAGTTTTGGTTGCTTTCTTGTTGTAGATTAAGTACATGATTAAGCCAGTTAAGGGTCTTCCTCCATGGGGTACAGTTCAGTCCACCTCATTTGTAGTGTGGTGATGTAAAAAAAGAATCTGGAAGTGCAAAAAAATTGAGTGCAGTTAATGATTGATAGAGGCATGGACATTCTTATGAAGACTGCCAAGGTTCTGTGATGATGTTTATGGGTACAAGCGTTAGAGTTCGGTTGGTTATCTGTGAATTTGTATTATTCGTTTTTTTTTTCCTTCGAATTGTATGTTTTTGCAATTTTTGACATTATTGTGGTGAGCTCTTTGTGAGTAATTGTATGAAGTCTATTGTGGTTGTAGAGCACAATTTGGTATTGCTAGTCTCATTGATATTTGTGTTTGTGTGTGTGGTGGGTTTGGTTTTGGGGGTTGGGTGGGGGGTCTGTAATAAAATGGTTTATGGTTGTTTGGCTCCCATTCCCATGACNATGGGGTACAGTTCAGTCCACCTCATTTGTAGTGTGGTGATGTAAAAAAAGAATCTGGAAGTGCAAAAAAATTGAGTGCAGTTAATGATTGATAGAGGCATGGACATTCTTATGAAGACTGCCAAGGTTCTGTGATGATGTTTATGGGTACAAGNGTGGGGTACAGTTCAGTCCTCCTCATTTGTAGTGTGGTGATGTAAAAAAAGAATCTGGAAGTGCAAAAAAATTGAGTGCAGTTAATGATTGATAGGGGCATGGACATTCTTATGAAGACTGCCAAGGTTCTGTGATGATGTTTATGGGTACAAGCGTTAGAGTTCGGTTGGTTATCTGTGAATTTGTATTATTCGTTTTTTTTTTCCTTCGAATTGTATGTTTTTGCAATTTTTGACATTATTGTGGTGAGCTCTTTGTGAGTAATTGTATGAAGTCTATTGTGGTTGTAGAGCACAATTTGGTATTGCTAGTCTCATTGATATTTGTGTTTGTGTGTGTGGTGGGTTTGGTTTTGGGGGTTGGGTGGGGGGTCTGTAATAAAATGGTTTATGGTTGTTTGGCTCCCATTCCCATGACCCATGCAAATCGGCCTTACCACTATTCTTGGGACACTGTCCGATGGTCGCACCGTCCTAGGACATGCATGTTCGGGGATTGACTCATATTAAAGTTCGTTTTGTTGGCCTCAAGCTTTCTTTGCAAATAAAATTATCTGAATAGCAAAATATTATTCACATATATTTCATACAAAGAAGTGATTAGATTAGATTATGCACATGATCTTATTTTATTGGTGGGTCAAGTTATAGTTAAATCCTTTACAAATGTAGAACCCTTTTGGTTGCTTTGTAAAGGATAGCAATTACCAAGAAAAATCTCACTAATAACGTTTTTTCGTCACCCTAATTATGCAGATTCGGATTCCTTTAAGTAATTTTTTCCAGTATATCACCCGTTATCAATTCAGTGGAGCCCAACCTCGTATAAGTCTTTGACCTATACATGACGTATGATTTAATATTGAGAAAAAAAAAATTTTTTTTGGGTGTAATGGAGGGACCTCAAAAAATTAGTTAGGTTCCCTAATAAAACTAGTATAAGAGATGTCTGCCCTCATCAGGGCCAAAATACANTTTTTTTTTGGGTGTAATGGAGGGAACTCAAAAAATTAGTTAGGTTCCCTAATAAAACTAGTATAAGAGATGTCTGCCCTCAACAGGGCCAAAATACAAACAGGTGGTGAGTCTAAGACTACCAAATCTTCCAGTTGACTNATTTTTTTTGGGTGTAATGGAGGGACCTCAAAAAATTAGTTAGGTTCCCTAATAAAACTAGTATAAGAGATGTCTGCCCTCATCAGGGCCAAAATACAAACAGGTGGTGAGTCTAAGACTACCAAATCTTCCAGTTGACTCACCCAAGTTAGCAAGGCAATCTGCACATTGATTCCCTTCTCTTAAGGTGTGAGTAAGGAGACTGTTACGAGTCCTAATGATGAAATTACAATTCTCCACTAGGACTTTATAAGGTTGGCTATCTGAATTGTTTTTAAATAGCAGATTGAAAGCTTTATAAGAGTTGGTCTCAAGAATGTGGTTTCCTCCGCTGCTTGGGATCATCAGTAGGCCTTTGTAGATGACCCAGAGTTCTGCTTTGATTCTGGAAGTGTGGTTCATTCTGCCAAAGAAGCCTTGTACCCAGATCCCTCTGTCATTTCTTATGATCCCTCCAATATCTGCTGGTCTAGGGTTCGCTTTAGAGCTCCTATGTGTGTTGATTCTATGCTGAAGGCCAATGACCTTATGTCCCCAACAGTTGTGAGTTGAGACGTAGTAGACTTATGAGCGAGAATCAAGATACCCCATGGGCGGGGCATCCAGACCAACAATGGACCTTGGCTCTCATTTCCTGAAGTTTTTATTGGCCTAGGATGATTTTGAACAGTTTGTAAAAACCTGTCTTCTTTGTCAGCAGGACAGGGTTGAGGGATAATGGGTCCATTTGGACTTAATGGGTTCATTTTAGATATCTAAGACATTCTATTTGGGTGACTAATGTTATTATCAAGTTTCAGATTTTTAATGGCGAAAGCACGCAGTTCTCATACGGGCAATAGTGCTTGTAGTTCTACTTTCTCATTCTGCTTCTAAAAGTTCGTAGAAAAGATAGATTTTGATTGGCGAGAATGCTTTTGAGCTGGCTTTCTCTAGAGTACGGTAGCTTGAGGAATGAAGTCTGACTCACACAGGCAGTCACTCAACAAAAGGGTACCCGTATTTGAAACTAACACAGGTGGGTAGGTAAAGAATATTTAGGGGCGCGAGATAATTCTCTCTAAGGAACTCAGCAAAATAATTCCGTAACTTCGGAAGAAGGGGTGCCTCCTCACTCATCCTCTGGGAGGGCTACTAGTCTTTACGAGTTATTGATTTACTATTTAAATAAGTAGAAAAGGGATTCTTGTTGCGGCTTGTATTTCCAACATCTTCTTTGGGCTTTATTGAGCAGTCTGTTGCTTCATTCCATAACTTCCTATGGGCATTAGTTGCTTCTACCCTTATTATATTAGTTTAGTCACAAAGGAACAAAAAAGAAAACCTTTTGACAACCTAGGGCGCAATTTACTAGTTTTTTTTTTTCGGGTTCTTTGCTAGCCAGACACCTTTCAACCAACCATCCAATAACTATCCATTCTTTCACAAGCCAAGCCAATATGTCTTGATCCGCCCCAGGAGAATCTAGTTGAATGGGTGACTTACGATTGAACTCTTATTTTTTTTTTGGGGAGGGGGGGGAGGCCTCATCTCAAGATTGCTACGGGTAGCTCTCTTAACTATCTGGCTATCTCTCAAGAGTGCGAATTGAAGATAAGATAATGATTTGGCTAATTGAATGCCATATATGGCTTGGCTCTATCAATTCCAGAACCCACCCTCCCTCCTAGTTGAATCTTTTTTTTCAAAGCTTGCTTAGTAAGGATTTTTATATATAACATGCATGCTTCAGAAACTCGATCTAATGCGCCTTGCGACTACTGAAGCAAAGTCCAAGAGTTGCTGTTTTTTGAACAAAACTATATCAGAGCCGAGCCCTGTGGGATGAATTTAGAAAAATGACTCTAAATGTTCTTCCACTAAAAAGCTTGTTAAAAGAGATTTGAATGTTGTGTTGTTATCGGAAGAAAAACTAGGAGGGCTATTCCTGCATAGCACAGCGGAGAATGACTTTAATGAAGTTAAACTGTGAACAATTGTGGCTTGGGAAGTTGGTTCAGATTAGTTGTAGTTGATTCACCATTACCCATAAAAAAAACATATAAATCTGCAAGACTGAATATCGAACTCATTTCCAAGTCATTGGGCACGACCGGTACGCATCAGAGCCCCTAAACAAGCCTTTTGGATTAATCAAGATGGCCTTTAAAAAAGTTTTCTGGTGATTTGTTTGTCATCTTTGTTTTAGCTTCGCTAGCTTTTCTTTTCAACTAATACTCTCTGAAGCCGGAATAAGGCACCTCTTTTTCCAGAGTTTGTTGGGGGAACTCTTTGCTAATTGAGGGCTTCATTTCTGATTTTACTATTTCACTTTCCTGCTCTGGTTCAAAACTAGGTAGGTATCTTCTTCAGTCTCATTTTACTATTTCACTAAACTCTAGGGTTCTTTGGGTGTGGATACATTTTTGTTGACATATTTGAGAGGAAGTGTATGAATAAATTGTTTATCTTTTTAAGTTTAATTTTAATAAAATATCTTATGATTCGATACAAAATTCAAATAGCCTTTTATTTATTTTACTTATTTGCACTTCCTTAAATTATGTATAATTCTTATTCTTCACACTCTCTCTCCGTTATTCTCTCTATCTATCCCCTATTATTTCTCTTTCTCCCATTGATAATTTAATTTCTTTTCAAATATGTAAAAATTTGATTTGATTTTTCATTTCTCCCCCTATTTTTTTTTCTCTCTCTCTTTCTTTCCCCTATTTTCTCTCACCGTTACTCTCTCTCTCTCTCCCCATATTCTCTCTTTTTACTTATATCAATATTACAACAAACAATTACACCAATTAGTTACCAAAGAGTTACACCAAACTATTACTAAAGAGTTAAATCAAATAGTTACCAAAGAGGTACACCAAACAATTACTAAAGAGTTACATCAAAGAGTTACACCAAATAGTTAACTATTTACAAACAAACAGTTACACAAATAAAATTATCAAAGAATTACAATAAATATGTACCAAAAGAGTTGTACCAAACAGTAAATCAATTACAAATAAACAGTTATATCTGTGTAACTGTTTAATAATCGTATTTTAAGATTTTTCTATTTCACATACATTCATTCATTATAAAGATTTAAAATTTTATTATTTTCATTTCACAAAACATGGGTTTGGATTTTATCAAACAAAAAAATTGAACTAATAAAAAATAAAGAAACTCGTACCGTTAGACTATTCAAATATCGATTGTAACACCGAACAGTTACCCAAAACAGATGTATGAATCAAATGTCATGAATCTCAAATATAGTTACTCCACATTGTTACAACNCGTACCGTTAGACTATTCAAATATCGATTGTAACACCGAACGGTTACCCAAAATAGATGTATGAATCAAATGTCATGAATCTCAAATATAGTTACTCCACATTGTTACAACAAATAAAAAATTAGTGTTTTGTGTTTTTTAAAATTTAAAATTTTGATATATTCATTCAACATAAAAGAATTTAACTTTGTTATTTTCATTTGGAATTGTTTGTGTTTTTTAATTTTAGTTTGGGTTCTTCTAAACAGAAATTGCAAAAAAAAAAAAAAAAATTAATCGGGGTTGAAACTTTGAAGGCGAACTTCAACGTCTAGAGAAGAGGATTTTGGCGACA